ACTAACATCCATCGACGTCTTGGACGATGGGTAAAATTCTTTGAAGGGCAGTTCAACTGGCCTGCTGCTCCGGCAACATCGGTCAGACTGTCCTGCCCTCCATGGCCGGTGACGACTGATCCACCAAATGAGGCGGAAGTCCGCAAGGAACTCCAACTCTTGAAACGTTACAAATCACCGGGCCCAGACGACTTACCTCCGGCTCTTTTTAAAGATGGTGATGACTTTTTGACTAAGGGACTGACGACGTTGTTTACAAAGATCTGGGAACTAGAGAGTGTACCAACGTCATGGAATGAGTCGATAGTTGTCCCTATCTTTAAAAAGGGTTCACGTTGTTCCTGTAACAACTATCGGGGGATAAGTCTACTTCCGATTGCGTCCAAGCTATTGGCTTCCGTCATACTTCGTAGCTTGTTCAGAACCCGAGAAGGATTGACTCGCGAGGAGCAGGCTGGGTTTCGTTCTGGTCGAGGATGTATTGATCATATCTTCACCCTCCGCCAAGTGTTAGAACACCGCCATACTTATCAAAGGCCAACAATCGTAGTGTTTCTTGATATCAGGGCTGCCTTCGATTCGTTGGACAGAACTGTTCTCTGGGATTGTCTATTGAAGAAGGGTGTGCCTGAGAGGTTTATTAACATCCTAAAAGCTTTATACACAAACACCTCAGGCAGAGTGAGGGCATACAACCACCTCTCTCTATTATCCCATTCAAGCAATGTACTTAGACAGGGTTGCCCAATCTCACCATTCCTCTTCAACTTTGCCATCGATGACATTCTGGAAACAGCTCTGACGGATGTAAGTAACGGTGGTGTGGATCTGTTGCCTGGAGAAAGACTTCTCGACCTTGAGTATGCGGATGATATTGTCTTACTGTGCGAGAATGCCCAAGCTATGCAATCCGCACTTAATCAGTTGGCGATTATTGTCCGTAGGTATGGTATGTGCTTTGCACCTTCGAAGTGCAAAGTACTTCTACAAGACTGGCAGGATTCTAATCCTGTACTCACTCTGGATGGTGAGCAGATTGAAGTAGTCGAGAAGTTCGTGTATCTAGGTAGCTGCATAAGTGCTGGTGGTGGTGTGAGTGATGAGATCAATGCACGTATAGTGAAAGCCAGAGCGGCTTATGCCAATCTGGGCCATCTTTGGCGCCTTCGTGATGTTAGTCTGGCTGTAAAAGGTCGGATCTACAACGCGTCGGTGAGAGCAGTTTTGCTCTATGCTTGCGAAACCTGGCCTCTCCGAGTTGAGGATGTTAGACATCTTTCTGTGTTCGATCATCGTTGTCTCCGAAGGATTGCTGGCATCCAGTGGCAACACCATGTTAGTAATGCAGAGGTTCGGCATCGAGTGTTCGGTCACAGAGACGATAATTCAATTGGTGTCACCATCTTGAAACACCGACTTCGGTGGCTTGGACATGTTCTACGAATGTCGTCCCAGAGAATTCCTCATCGTGCATTATTTGCTGACGCTGGGACTGGTTGGAAAAAGCGGAGAGGTGGTCAGTATATGACATGGTGTCGTGGTATGAAAGAAAGCTGCAAAGGGCTAGCTTCTGTTGGTCCTTCACGACTCCCAGGTTGGGGTCCGAAAGACGGTGTAACACAGTGGCTAGAGACGTTATCAGATATGGCTCAGAATAGAAGCCAGTGGCGATCCTGCTGTAACCTTCTTTTACTTTCTTCATAAAAAGTCATTGTATCTTCCTTAACTGAAAGATTTCTTATGATTGTACCTTTCCGTTTTCCCCATCATTGTTCTCTCTCTCTTTTTTTTTATGTATTTATAATTCCCCACGTTCATTACTTTTTTTTTCTCTTTTCTCCTCTTCAAATTATCATTGTTTTGTGTGGCGCATATATATTTGGTGACCCCCTGTACCAATATTTATGTGTTCAAATAAATAATAAATAAAATCGATTTATAAAGTAATATAGTCATCATCCAACCATGTTGTTGGGTAACAGTTCTGTACGATCTTAGGGAATCTAGGATAAGTTGACCATCTTTCATTTAAATGATATTTAAGCATAATACTTTTTGAGTGACTAAGAATTAAAACATTTTTATCAGTTAGGTCTCATAGATTAGTTATTACCGTGCTGACTGACCAGGATCAATATTTCTAACCCTCATTGTATACTGAACTCATCAAATACTGAAATAATATTGCGTTTTAAATATACCTTAGGTTCTACTTGTTGAGGATAATTTACAATACGATATTTTTTAACTGGCTCGACATGTTTTGGATATTTCTAGATTTTATGAAATTTTCAGAAACACCACTTGAATGTGAAGTAATGTTAAGAAGTAAAATAATATTTCGCGTTGATGTCATTTTATAATAATAAATCTCTTCAGTTATTTACGGTTGTATTATGAACAACGTGAGAATCCTGGTTATTTTCGTAAGTGACTTTATTTATGATATCGGTTTTATGGATATCATTGGTCATTTTCAGACAGTATATGGACGCTATTTGTTCTACAAACACTTTGAAATTCAACTAATGTCTAAAGATACATCTGTGTAACAGGTCAAAATGCTTTAAATAATCAAGTTCTATCAAATTATTTGTAACCAGTTGAGCGTCATCTAATCAACTGCATATTATTAGAGCAAGAACATTTGGAACTTGAAGTATTTTTTTCTAATCAAACTGTTTCTGGTATTTGTTATTCATCAAACGTTATATATGAATTAGCGGAATAATGAGTGAATCACATAGCATTATTCATGCTAGTGTGACATTTTGCGTGTATATGTCTACAGTTGAGCTCATAATATTATATTCGGTGTTCTGTTAATAAGTAAATCAGTAGCTTGTGTCGAAAAGAATAATTTAAATAAATGTAAGAATAAATTAAATATCTTATTGAATAAGAAAAAGAGAATTTAGTGAAGAAAAACTTTTGTTTAGAGATTCTATTCCAACAATTTGTTAATAATTTATTTTTAGGTGTTTTGTGGAGATTTTGGTAATTTCAATAGTTGGAATCATGACTCAATTACAGATAGACCACCATGGAAAAATTGGAAGCACTGGACGGCCGTTTCGTCCTAGTATGGGACTCCTCAGCAGTGCGCATCCACGATCCGGCCTTCCGCGATATTCGAACCCAGGGCTTGTCAGTTTCGCGCGCGAGCTCTTAACCATTAGACCACTGAGCCGACCAGCATCCAACGGTGTTAATGTCTAACTTCAACTAATCCACAACACTGCACCACCTTACACCATTGCCTTCAGTCAGGTACTATCTCATAACATAACCGGTTAAACTCCAATGGTCACGGCTTCCCACTAGAACTCAAGGAAATGCCTCTTGAAGTCAGTTACTAGTGAGCAGATGATTATTATTGGAACGGCTGTTCAGTGCTCCCAGGTTTTCCATGGTGGTCTAGATTTAATTGACTTATAATTTCAACTATTGAAATAATTTATTTGAATAATTTTGTAAATATCCCCTTTATAATGAATGTTATTGTCTATTACATCATAAAGACATTTATTCTAAATTCGAATTCATCATGATCAATATGAATTAAAACTATATTATTCGAATGATCAATTAACTTCTTGTTAATTTAATTGTATCATATAAACACAACTTTTTATACACTGGAAAACTTTAATTTCAATCAGAAAGCATAGTTTACTAAGTGTTATTCTTTTATACATGTAATTACAAACTATTTCACCAGTGTTATACATTTAATCATTAGCAGACATGGTTGAATTATAACTGTTGGAAAACGCCGTATATTTTCATTCAATCAAACTATTTATAAAAAGTGTAAATTCAATTGGTATTCACAATTGATTGATCACTGGGTGACCAATGTCATGCGTGTCTAGTCCTTATTATTAGTGCAGATCGAATGCTATCGATCATGTTGCAATGTGGCCACCAGTCTAGGTGGCTCGACACCGCGGGCACTATTGTAAGATTAGATGGTGGTTGGAGGTAGTCGACAGGAAACCCTGGACCCGGGTTTCGTACTACTTGGCACTCGTCAGCAAGGTGTACCTGTAATCTTTGAGTGAACTGGTGCTCCCTGGCGGATTCGATCCCGTGTCACCCAGCTTCACAGTCAGAGACGTTACCACTGAGCTATCCGGGCCGTGACCGACCTCCTGTAGGACTGAGATGTAATCACAATTGATTGATCACTGGGTGACCAATGTCATGCGTGTCTAGTCCTTATTATTAGTGCAGATCGAATGCTATGCTGGGTGACACGGGATCGAATCCGCCAGGGAGCACCAGTTCCCTCAAAGATTACAGGTACACCTTGCTGACGAGTGCCAAGTAGTACGAAACCCGGGTCCAGGGTTTCCTGTCGACTACCTCCAACCACCATCAATTGGTATTATTTGCCTATACTTTCCCATTGTTGTTTTTTAGAACTATAATTAATCAGTCTCTTGTTGGCATATTTGGATCCTGTGAGGACTGCGTCAATATTGCTTTAATTCACAAGCTTTATAAGCAAAAATGGATGTTGGTTAGCAGTGAAATCCAGGAGGCGCGTTTTGTCCTATTTGGGACTCGTCAGCTGGATGTACCTGCACGTCAAAGTTGATGTTCTCTCCGGGACTCAAACCCACTGTCATTCACTTCAAACGCTCTCGCATTATCTACCTAGTTACTGAGTCCTGATAGCCAACTGCTTGTGCAATGGGGTGAAGTTTATAAAAAGGTGTGTAAATAATTCATGACAGTTTAGAATATTCATGCGTTAAAATGATTAGTAGTATAATTCATAAAAATAAGACTACTCAAGAAAAGAAGAACACTAGATCGAATTCTGTAATGTACTGTTAGGTGTATGTTAACAAAAAGAAAAAGAAATTAGATAGGTCAATCGATTCTTTTATGATTTAATACATATTTATATATCTCGATTGAGTTTAAAATATATCTTGAAATATTTAAATTGACATATATATATATATATATATATATATATATATATATATATATATATATATATATATATAATGCCAAGAATAAACAAGACCCCCATTTCATAATTATAATCTTATTCGAAAAGGAACGCCAATTCTTTCATTTCTTTAGCTTTTGCATCAAGTTTTCCATCATTTGATTTATGTATAACAGGAGGTTGTGATCGAGTCATTAATCTACGCCCAGTCTTTAAATAGAGAACAAATAAAATAGTAAACAAAATAATAAAATTCTATAAATTAGTTTACATAGGTTTTTCTTTTATACGAAAATCGTTTATTTTTTGTGTGTGTTAGTTACCAACATCAAAATTGACATCCTTTAGAGATTCTAGTGTGTACTGAGTAAAGAAATAATAAAAAGTAGTATATTAATCAACAAAGTTATTAACTATATGTGTAACGACCGAGCTCCCAGTATTCGGTTTGACCGCAGGAAAGATGAACCAAAATGTATTCGAATAGGCCAGACTACGCTCTTTTATATAGTTACCAAGCGTTTTTGAGACACTCGTATTAAATTATATCAAAACACAAACTCTGTGTTCAGTTTAGACGGTTCTAATTTAGAAATAGAACAAATTATATCAGAAATACAAAATACCTGTGCTATACAGTCAGAAGATTCTCTAACGCAAAGTAGCGCGCTAAACAATAAAAGAAACAGTTAATACCAAGGGGTTCGATACCTAAAATTAATAAAAATATTCTCAACAAAATGGGATCAAATACCTATCTGCAGGGATTCCAGTAATCCTCCCAAGCAGACAGTCAAAGGGTTAACAGTCACACACTGAATCACGCCGTGACCTTCAGCTTAGTCAAACACGACCTCATTTTCAATAGTCCGGCAATATGCAATAAAAAATTAGATAACAAAAGATAAGTCTTTAATCAAAATCACGTAATAAAAGCTCAGACGAGGAAGACTGAAGAACAAAAGGTGTGGTTAAACGAGATCTGAACAAAGGTTAAAATACACAACAGGGAGAAGAAACAAATAAATGACAGTACCGTCCAACAAAAAAAGCTGAGGAGGGATTTTCATCGTTCTCATTCCTTTACAATATGACTAAACTGTGTCATTGGATTCATGCATTCTTGTTTAGATCTGTGAAATGATCTAAAAATTTGATTGATCTATCCAAAAATTAATCATTGTGATGTAGTTTCATTTAATTGTTCCTATTCTACAATAATCTTAAACTTAATTCCAAGGTATACATTTTTTAATAAAATTTTATGAATACTGTTTATCGACCATACTACTTATTGCTTAGCATTTCGTTGTAATTGGGATTTTTTTATTTCTTCTTCTTCTTTTTCTCTGACTTTAATCTTGTTAATTTTTTGATCTGCGTAAGCTGGTATAACAGTCAGTCAGTCAGTAACAACGTGGAACTTCGTACGTACGTACATCAGTTCGAATCGCCATACCGCATTATCATAGAGATGCAGTTATCGATTCAAATCCCATAGTGGTATAGGTAGTAAAATTATAGGCAGTAATCAGACAGATTAGGGTTTGAAGATGTTATTCAAGGAGTACAATCCAGTGGAATAGATTTGGAAAGAGAAAAATAGAGACAAAGAAAATTCAGAAGATCAGAATTTGGTAGATACACCTGCGCCATTACAAACGATTTTGAGCCATGTAATTCAAGGTCTCTAACCATCGGTTGTTATCATCTCGCGGTCCCCAACCAGGTAATCTACATCTACCAACATGGCTCAGTCCACTTGTCAGTGACTTCATGGATTTGTGCCATGTTTTGGTCTGGCCGCCCCTAGCTTTCTTCCAACTTAATCCCTTACCATTGAACATCGTACGTCGGGGCAGTCGGTGGTTGTGCATTCGTAACACGTGTCCCAGCCATCTCAACTGATTAAGTTTCACTACTTCATCAATTGATTTTCCATCCTTACCTAGTACCCGTTTCCTAACAACTGCATTACTTACTCGATGGTCCCAGGAAATACGAGCAATTTTCCGGAGACACCTATGATATGGTATAACATGTGTCAACATATACTGTTAATGATTTATGCAAGGTTTTACTTTTTCCATAATTAATTAACTGTTTTTCAGTTCTAAATGTAAAAAAAAATTGTTATCCATTATCCCTACCTTTATTTCTAAAACTTTTTTTTCAAATGGTATCCATTTGTAATAAAAAAAGTTCTCTTTTAAATGATATAATACCATTTTAATTCAAGAGTAAAATAAGATGTGTATTATGCTTTGAATAGCTTATGAAAAACATTTATTGCATGAGGGCATTAGAACAATAAACATTCAAATGTTGGAATGGTTTTTCTCATAGGAAATTAATCATGAAAGTATTTATAAAAATAGAATGTAATTCTCAGATTAAAGTGATAGATAATATGATATTAAAAAGTGACGTTTCTTTTGAACCAGATTACTAGGCGAAACGTTAGATTTACTTCAAATTGTTTCACTGAGATTTTACAAATACATTCTTTCTTTTTGATGTCTTACATTAACTCGGCGCCCAAATATTATGAAACTATTCGTTCAAATTTAGACGAAAGTTCTTATTTAAAAATGGTAAATCTAAAAACTCTATGTGATAATCTTTGAAATGATCTATCTTTATAACTAAATGAGTATAAACAAAATACCTAGTTCTCATTCCATTAATTATTTATTTAATTATATGAAAATAACACATAATTTAGTCACTTCATCGATAATAGTATAAAATATAGATCCGTTTTGTATGTTTCACTAGTGTAATGCATAATGACAGCTGATTCGCCATTATAAATTATAATATTCGGACGATTCTCAATGATTGTTTACAAGAAGTGTAAAAAATTCAGTAACTAAATACAGGATTTTATATTGATTGATTGCAAATTAGTAACCAATGTTATTTTTCCCTTGTTTTTAGTATTAGTGGAATTCTACGAATCAAACTGAAATACGACTATAAGTCTAAATAACTTGATGTTCCGTGCACTATATTTTACTGTTAGGTGATTGGGGTCAATCATCCAGAAAACCTTTGACTTTAGGATTAGGGGAACTGACACTTTCCGTGATTCTCAAGCATACATCGCCTATCATCATAGTCTAAAATGGTACAACTGAACTATTCGAGCCATGACAAAGACAATGGACTATGAGAATATTGCACGATTTAGACAAATAGAATCTGATTTCGCTTCTGGATTATATCATGTTAGTCAGGTAACCTCAAGGTACTTAGTTTAACCATGTTTGAAGTCAGATGAGCAGTAATTATAAGGCTCAAACTAAGAAAAAAAACTCGTTTTTAATTATTTCATGTATAATGTAACTCCATGGTTAAAGTCGTCTCAAGACATAATAATAATAATAATAATAATAATAATAATAATAATAATAATAATAATAATTCAAGTTATTTATTCATTACTTGTTTCTTCGGTGCAGCTTTAGCACGTTCTAATGCTTTTTGTATACGTTCCTCTTGATATAAACGCTGTTGATACTTTTTATCCTCTTTAATTTGTTGCCTATGTTCAATTTCTTTAGCTTGTTTTACTTCATTAACTTCATCTTCAGGTAAAGTTTGTAATATTTCAAGTAAATCAGTCAATTTCACTTCAATTTCATATAACATTTGTATTGAACTAAAAAAATATAAGTTAAAAATAAACAAAATAAACTAGACAATATAAAATAGAAAAGATGAAAAATAAACCAAATAGTCTAAATAAATTCTCTATTTAATACTCTAACCAATTATTTTTCTTTTTAGTCCAATGATCAACAGAAGTTGAACTTAAAAATAAATAGTTTTTATAAATATTTTACATTTATTTTGGTTAATTATAACTGCAAAATATTATTTGATAATCACATGTAGTGTTAATGGTAGGTATCTTGATAATCCATCATAGATTTGTTCTATTTGAATATCTTCCCTTGTACTGAAAGACCAATATCAATTGATGCTTTCAGTGTAGATCGTTGTTAAATAAAAATACAATCTGGTTAAATCCACTTATCATTAGTGTACTGAAGCCTCTTTTAGTTTAGTATTTCATAAAATTTACCATACATCAATTTAAACTTAATCTTTTTAAATGAAATTAAATATTTATCTCTCATCTAAATTAGAAGAAATATGTAGTGTTTACTATTACTTTGTTGATTAACTATTCCAATCTTTACCTCAACTCAATACCATTTGAAAAACATAAAAATAATCTCAGACTTCTGTTTTTTATCATTTCACAGACCAATCCAGTTTAGATGAACTTTACACACTTTTGACATGCATTTGTAGATTGACAACAATAAATCAAGGTACTTCATGAGGTCCCCGATACATGATATGAATAATCAAAGTATAACTAGAGGTGTTCTGACTACAATTATTAACTATATGTTGACGACACTAAGTAATAAAGAATTTCAAACTCGTATGAAAATCTTGTAAATATTATAATCCTAATATTCGTTCATATATAGTTTTGCATTATCCTAGTAATTCAGGATTTTATTAAGTTATTTAAATAAAATAGGTTTGAAGTCTTACAGTGATTAGAAGATACATAGATAACACCGATTCTAGTACTTAGATTCATCAACGAGAAAATAAATACCGTTGGAAATAAATTCATACTATTTGAACTGAATAGTCGATACCTAAACTAAATAGATAAGTAAATAACACATTGGCATTTAAATCAACAGTTTCTGGGTCCGAGTCTCACTATAAAAATCAACACTGAGATCTACGTATGTCCATTAAATGAGCTCCATATATGATGAGACGCGTATGCTGGATTCTACCCCTATCTATAATCCAGCTTTGCATAAATGTTGATTATTGTCTTCAATATAAAAAACTTGCACATCAATATTAAATAGCACGAGAAACTAGATAGCTATTACCATAAATCCTCGTATTGATGGTGAATTACATCTAAAAATTACACAACATTAATAATAATGATTACTACCTTAAAGGTGTATCTGATTTTCTTATTGTATCACGATACACTTCTGTAATAATCTCATGTAAATCATTTAAAATTAACTTCTGTTGTTCGGAATTATAACCGGCAAATAAAAAATCACTAAAACAAATCGAAAATGAAGGAAAAAGGTGGATTATTGTAAATCATTACAATGAACTACTTATTTAAAATGTTTAGTATAAATGGCATAACGCATAATCTTCGAATATAATGGTTGTTATCATTAAAACTTCAAGATAAATATTCTTATTCAGCAGACTGATATTTTTCTTATATATATACAATGAATTTGACTGGTAGCCTAAAAAGCAATTGGTTCAAGTCTTCTAACTATTTACATCTTTTTTGTCATCGTCGTTTTCATCATAACTCCTCATGAATTCATTTCATTCATATGAGCATGAACGGATAATCACCTTTAGTGTAAGTGTAATTTCGACTGGATTTGATGAAATACAATTTTCAATTTTATTTAGGTCTGCATCAATCCGTTTAATAGAGCTTTGTTTAAAACAAATAAAGGAATAAAATAGCTTTTCTTTCTCAATCTATCATCGGATAAGAAAAAATAATCATAGTAAGATAAAAACTAGAAAATAATCCTCAGTATTAAAGAAGAATGACTGATAAAAAATGATGAATGGGTTATATCTTTTCAAATACTATTCACGAAAGTCTATAATTTACACATACATTTTATAATATATGGATAATTCACACCACGAGTGAAAAGCCGTGGAGCAATGAATAGTTGTTTCGTCCTAGTGTGAGACTCTTCAGTAATATTTAACTCTATTTGTACGGTTGAATAAAAAATATTCAGTTTTCAAGGAGAGAAATTTACCCATAGACCACTCAACAGTCAGTGATGCCATGTTATTTATTGCTCACCGGTTTACAATGTCTTCATAAACTGAATTCAGTCGACGATTCAAACAATCTCTAAATCGAAAACTGACACATTCTTCACATTCCATTATTGTAGTTACTTATCATGAGATTCTAGTTTCCATTTATATCCAAATATTTAGTAACCGAAAGGATAACTTTCATTGTATGATAAATTATATCTTCTGCTGTAAATTGCTTGAATCTATACTACCTTTATCCCATTTTTTAGTCTAAAAATATGGAAACTTGTATTTTTCTGTTTAATTAGCGTTATTGGCTAATTATTAGATGAATTGAGTTACTTCAGTAACTGATGATACCCGTTACAAATTGACTAATTGTCTTTTATTACCAGGATTGATATAAATGTTAGAATGTATCATTCTTTGATTTCATTTTAGTTAGGTATAGAAATAAATAGAGACAAAAACATGTTGTCCTCTTTATGTTCTATGTCGTGATGACATTGAACTGTCTGATGGCGAAATTATCAGTTAGTTGAAGTAACTGCATGGATGATTTACTCATGGAATTACGACCTAAATTCCGAATCAATATATTTATAGGAAATGGAACCATTGACCAGCGGACTCGATACGTTTCACAAAGTTAAAAATGATAAATGTGTACAATGTATTGACCAATTGGTATGAATAGGAATTATTTATCAGATGATAGATTATTATCCAATGATAAAAATACAGTTCATAAAATAATCTATCAGGCTTCCTTTCTACCGTGGTCATATCAGAGAGTTTACTAAACACCCAGACTTTCATACATGAAATTCTCTTTCACGATTTCTTTCAGTTTTTAGAAATATTCAATTTCTCAGGGTTCCAGATTACTATATATATATATATATATATATATATATATATATATATATATATACCTCTTAGCGAAGTATTGTCTGTATGGTTTAAGTATCTTACTTTCAACCTTTTCAGTTTCTATTGTGGAACTCGTCTATACTTACTGTATTTAAAAGTAAATCAATCAAGCAATATACATGATTTGAAGAAAGTCGAATATCTGAACTTGTAGCTATTTATTGACTTTCAGAATTATTGATCTATCGTTAATTACTGTATTTAAAATAATTCTCTTTGGACAATAGTTTGTTTTTTTTTGGCGAGATCAATGGGAATCTTTTCTTTCTCTTCAGGTGAATAACTAAATAATTCTTCGTTGCGAATTAAAAATATCAACCTTTTTGTAATTATAATGCATATAAAATTGTCTACTTCTCTTTTCACAGTCAAACAAGCATGAAAGTTTGCAGCTTCATATGATAATGCGTCCAAAAATTGCCGCATCTGAAGAGAGAATTTAGAGTGGAACCAAAAATGGGTTTATCAGTAAGAATGAAATTCATTGGTCGGGTTAGATAGAGCGTATTTTATACTTGTGCTAACAATTAGGTTATCACTGAAAACTTTAGTGCACTGATTCATCTTAGTATGGGACTTCTCAACAGTGTGCATCCAAGAATCCAATACAAGAACTTCTGGGTGCTTAACCATTAGACAACTGAGCCAGCATTTACTTGTGCATACTTCTAAATTCAAACAGTTCGCTATATAGCATAAGAATTATTTAGCTATAATCAGTCTGTGACGAATACCACCTACAATTTAAATTAATCTCCACAGAACACCATTAATAAATAACAACAGTCAGAAAAAATAATAATGTCATTTTACCAACTTAAATATTGAATATTCCCTTGTTGGCGAAAATTGGTCAATGACCAAATAATATGTTATTTCAATCTGCAACTAACCTCATACTTAAACTGAAATACTGAGTCTTGTTTTGTTCTGCATCAATAGCACCTTTAAGAAATGCCTGATGTTGTGATAAAATGTGTATATCTTTCTCACTGAAATAAAACAAATATAAACATTCATGCATATGAAATAGTAAACAAGAGTATTAACTAGTCAGTCACTGGAGCAAATTTTGACATTAAGAATCTTCCCTTAAGTGATTCTTAGCTGATTAATCTCCGACTGTAACTTGAGTTACAATCCCTTGAGAGACGTCGGTTCTCTTCAGATTGTAAAGAACCCTGACAATTGGGGGTTAGTTAGGAAGAAATCTGGATTCAAAGTTTTTTTGATTACTCCCAAACCACGTAACATCAGATAAAATACTCCACTACAACAAGTCGTTTAACCACCAATGGTCTTGTGAAAGCCTTTTGAAAAGAATTTGACTTATACTGATAGTTTGAAAACATAATATTGATTATTTATGGAATTATCAATTCTTCTATCTCAATATGTTTACTTTTATGATGTAAATATTGCGGGAAATTTCATTTTATTCGATAATGTTCTATTCTATATAATATTATTTGCAAAACAACTTACTAATTATCCACAGTTTCATTCACTTGATTACGTAATATTTCAACTGAATCATCTGACTCTTGACAATGTTGAATTAAACGTAGATTTGTCTCTTCTAAGTCACGTAAGATAGTTAATATTTGAATTGGATCCTTAAAGTAAACTTCTTCATCCTATGAAAAACGAAGAAATTGCATGCATTCTAAAATTAAGCAATACTAATCAATAATTTCGATGAAACTTCATAATCTATAACTTCTTCGTTCTCATTTGAAACTTCTCAGCAGTGTTCATTTACAGCTTAGAGTTTAAACGACTATTGAGTTTTAGAATCAGATTATGACTCTGATACGTCACTTGGTGAGCGAATTTGAACTATTAAAGTTCTAAATAGTGGTCCTCATCAGAAGATGCGGGAATCTTAAGTTTGATCCCGAGTGAGGTAGGAGGTGAACGCTACTGAAGAATCTCAAATTAAGACAAAACGACATTTTAATACCAGAAAAATTTAACGATAAATGACAAAACATTGTCAACTTTAAAAGAGAAATATATATTCACTGTTTTAAATCGAATCGACTGAAGTGATCGCATTAACTAGCTGTTATCGTGATCTATCAGATTTAATTGTTATATGAATTATAATCAAGATAATTTGAAGAAACCGTTGGAGATTTCGATCAACGTTGTAATAAACGCATCAATTATTTTCTTCAATATCAAATGTTTCATTACAGTGGAAAATGTACAAAACAAACTGTATAAAATTGCAACGAAATTGCCATTTCATAAATGATTAACTTGTAAAGATTCTAGAAAAGAATGGGTAGTATATATAAGTTCGCTCCTATTTATATTCATCTAAAAAGTTTTACACCATTTTCACTCTTATTGTATTGAACGAAGATTTGGTTAGTGTAAATTAATTCATTCTATTGAGCAAATTTACACACTGTATTTGTAAAATATGAACATAATATATTGAATACACTGTTTGCAGATGTTCCTTGAATTGTTTCTTCCAAACTCCATCGTTCTTTTGTTTCTGTTTCTAATTGAGCTGCTTCTGGTTTTCTTTCTCTTCGCCTCATGTTCCTTTTCCGTCAGTGAGAATCCCACTTCCGAAACTTGATACATACTACTTATATCTGTTCGTATTAGTAGCACATACCACACTATGACATTGGTTTTCACTGTCAGGTATAAATTTTATGGTAATTGCCTCTCGTTACTTCAGAAGAAAAGATGATGAAATTATGTAAAAAACGGTGTTAGTATTTATTGAGGCTCTCGGTGATCAGATTTAATATAGGTTTCAAACACTTCATAAAAGCGCATAAGTACACTGCATTGGCAGATATATTTAATTCAGTGAAACAAATCTCGAATACAAGAAAATCTATTACAGTAAATAGACTTTAGAAAAATGGTGGTCCAAAAGTTCTAGAAGGCCACTGTTGTGTTTTTAATGATTTTACACATTTCACATTGTAAATTATCTCCTAATTCAGCAAATAAGTTGTCTATATCTAAAATTATAAATTTTCATGAGTTACTAAAGAATTTCTTACTTGATGGAATCTTTGGATTAACCTCATTTAAGTCTCCATTTAGATAAATTATCATGAATCTATTCAAGCAAACAGCAATAAATCTGTAATGAGAATTCAATTTTCAACTTTTTAATCAATGTCAAAGTTCATTAGTATTTGGAGTCGATTAAACTGAGTAACTATAGTGGTCCCATTAATCATTCAACTTATCTTATTTGTAAGAGGAATTTTGATAAGTTACTCTTTCCGTTGAATAACTGCACCGCACTATATGTTAACACAATTTGAAAAATATAATAACTCTTTAGTTTTGATTGGTAATTGAATGTTAAAATGTTTAGGGTAAATCACTTGAGATGTTAAAGTATATATTGTATGAATAGCTGATTGTTCACTAATTTTCATTAGTTATTTTACCTTGAAATCATACACTCCATGATAACAATAATTTAGAAAAAATGTCTTAGTTAAGTAGAGAATACAAAAAAAATATCAACACAAACCTACACTGTCTTCACTACTAGAACTTTCATACGGTGTAATTTGTCTTGAAAGTTTCGACTCCATTGATAATGTTCTAATCAAGTGAGAGAGATTTAAAAAATAAACAGATTTTATCCATCCAACAATCACTATTAAACTAGGAATTAATAGATAACCATTCAAACTCGAATGAACACGGAATGAAAACTTACTGGAATTTGAAATGATACGGAACTAAAAGATTTATCACTTATGCTGAAGTAAGATCTATTTTTGACTTGGACAATGTACAAAAAGAAAATATAAAATAATGTTTCCATTACAAAGATATAGGATTGACAATAAACTACTTAGTTATAAAGTTATAGTTGAAAGTAAATAGACAAATCTAATAGTACTTCATACAACAAACAGAAGTTAAAACACATTCCTATATGTAAACTTTATTCAACCTGATTAGGTCCTATTTAAGATTTAAAGGTAAGTAATTTTGGATGATCGTATTTGGTTTTGGGTGACAGTCATCTTATTGTGTTTTTTGTCTTGTAGATTTTGTAATATAAACTAGAAAGTTATTTATTTTAGTTGTTCATTGAATGCCCAAAATCATCACAAATAAGTCTTCTATGAAGATAAAAATCAAAGGTGGGAGTAGAGAGCAAGACTTAAGTATAGGGACGAACTTGAAAAACTCTAAAAGTGGTCTTCGCTGAAATTGTTTCCATTTTGAGTCAATCAAAAGGCATGTGACGAATATAATTACTTTTTTGGAAAAGAAATAAAAAACCAAGTAAAGTTATAATGCATGTGATACTTTTTGAAATTACTTATTTCCTATGGATATTAAAAGTTTTAGCGTTTTGAAATCGAAAACTTTGTCGTAGATGAATCCATCCATATGACTGGTATTTATAACTGTTTTGTTAACATCTAAAATTCTACCTCATCCATTCAAAAATAACATTTTCCTTATTGTGATTTCTGAGCACACTTTCCCATAATGAGGATATCACTGAATTATTGTGACTTCCTTTACACTAAAAATAGATTTACTAGTTGGTAGGTTTGCATGATCTAATTCATTACAATAATTGTCAATTAAGAAATATAATACATTTATCTTAAGATCCAACTGGTCTTGTTTTTCCATCAGATTCACATAAATTAGTTTTCCGAAGCCGTCCCTTCTCATCTATATACATTATGACTTTTGTTTCCATTCTAGGGTTACTGCCACTCACAGGTCCGGATAAGGGGGGATTGCGCATGCGGTCACCAATCCTATCCCATAGAAGACAACTTAGCTAAAAAAAGAACACTAACCAGAACCGTAATGTTTCCAGAACTATAACCTTCTAGCCAATTGTCTTATTTGAACTTCATCTTCAAGCCACATTCTAAAACATGATTGGTTAGTTCCTATTCTTTGGTTTTGACATGTATAGTAATAATGAATGAATGCATCTGTAAGTAATTTGATACACTGTATAGCATCTAGTACTGTGTTACGTGCACATAAATTATTCTGGCTTTTGAACGGACTAATTAATTTATTCTTTTTATGATCAATACTATTTTGACCTTGTCAGTTATTCGCTTAAAATCCTGACTGTTATCATATGCACTTATATGTACGTTCATCACTTACTCCATTGCATGTATAGTTTAGTATCCCGTCAGACTGGAAGCACTGAGTCACAGTTTATAAAATGAAGTAGGGACACTTGCCATATCTGCTTCTCTTATCCGTTCTTCATCTTACTACCTGAGTGGACAAAATAAATCCGTTCAACTTAATTTGTATTTGTCTTTTTTACTAATGTGTCACGAACAGAGTTAGCCTAAATAGAATACAAAACCAAACGAATATTTTATGTTCAGGACTAATCATTCGTTTGTTCGTTCATAATGGAATCAGATTGAGGGCCTATACTGAGAGCGTATAGGGAAGTTATATTTGGTTAAACTGCTTCCTTGAAGTTACAAATATGAAATATTTGTCGGATATCACTTGTCGAAATGTTTTCACTTAATGACTTCCAGTCATTATGAGCCTCACTACAAATGTAGATACATTCTTCTGGTTTTATGAAATCAATCATACTAAAATAATATTAATTAATTAAGGTTTGTATATCAGTGATCTGTACTGTGTATGCATGTATAAATATTGACGTACTTGTTTATTGTTGGTCTCAATGATGATCGTTTGGTAATGACAAATGACGGTCTTCGTACTGAATTTTCATTTGAAGCTAGTTTTTAAAGAAAATTACAAATTTCTGAATTTTAGTTACAAAAAGGCTTTTCAGTTGTATTCCACTCAATAAGTCAATGAGATTTCCTAAAAATCTACAAATTATTAAGAAATATCATTGTAAAATTTTATGAAAATGTACAGATACGTAAAAGAGACTTAATTTAACTGGTAATACTCGTAATATGGCAAACTATTTAGACATTGACACCATTGGATGCCGGCTCAGTGGTCAAGTAGGTTAAACGTTCGCGCGCGAGACCGAAGGTCCTGGGTTCGAATACCACGTGCGGAATCGTGGGTGCGCACTGCTGAGTCAGTCAGTCAGTCAGTCAGTAACAACGTGGAACTTCGTACGTACGTATATCAGTTCGAGTTGCCATACCACATTAGCACAGAGATTCAGTTATCGATTCAAATCCAGTAGTGGTAGAGGTACTGAAAGTATAAGTAGAGATAGGGGACATTAAGGTTTGATGATGTTATTAAAGGAGTATAGTCCAGTGGAATAAATTGGGAAAGAAAATAAAGGACATGAAGAATTCAGAAGATTAGAGTTTAAGAGAACACAAAGAGTGTATGCATCTGCGCCATTGCAAACGATTTTGAGCCATGTCATTCAAGGTCTCTAACCATCGGTTGCTATCGTCTCGCGGTCCCCAACCAGGTAGTCTACACCTACCAACATGACTCAGTCCACTTGTCAGTGACTTCATGGATTTGTGCCATGTTTTGGTCTGGCCGCCCCTAGCTTTCTTCCAACCTACTCCTACACCATAAAACATAGCACGTCGGGGCAGTCGGTGGTCGGGCATGCGCAGCACATGTCCCAGCCATCTCAACTGATTAAGTTTCACTACTTCATCAATTGATTTTCCATCCTTACCTAGTACCCGTTTCCTAACAACTGAGTTACTTACTCGGTGGTCCCAGGATATACGAGCGATGTTTCGAAGACACCTATGGTCAAATACTAGTAACCTACGAATATCCTCTACTCTTACTGGCCATGTTTCACTGCCATAAAGTAGGACGGAACGAACTGCTGCGCAGTAAACACGTCCTTTGGTTGATAGACGGATATCTCGCCTACGCCACAAATGACGCAAGTTGGCAAAAGCTAGTCGAGCCTTTTGTATCCGTGCTGAGATTTCGTCACACACCAAACCACAAGGGCTGATGAGACTTCCGAGACAAGTGAAGCACTGCTGAAGAGTCCCACAATAGGAAGAAATGGCCGTCCAACGCTTCCGAGTTTTCAATGCTAGTCTAACATCAATCGGTTCAAGATCTCAACCAATAACTTAATAATCTCCACAACCCTTTAGTGATCTATACGTTAGGCAAATAGAATCCTAATGTTATTTTCTTAGTCGATGCTGAAATATGAATAGGTTGGTTAGTCCGTTTATAAACAATCAGCGCTAGCAGACAAAATGAAGATCGCACTGGAGGTTCCTTAAGCGAATTCGAAATAAACACATATTTTATTTATTGCTGATTGTTGTTCTGACTCACCCTTGTTCTGATTTCTGTCAAACTAAGTAAATCACAGTAATCAAAAATAACTAGTCAAGAAAAAATGTAATAATGTCAACTAAGCTCAACCTCCTAATAGTGTGAAATTCTATGTTGGCTAGTGTTACGGTTGATTGGGAAAAGTGGGAGTAAACAAAATACATTCGAGATGCAATCACAAATTTGTTGACTATCGACCTGAGTTTTGTCGTGTGGTATGAAGGTCATAGTGTTCATCCACGCGATAACCGTAAGTTATTATTACTTGGCTTGGTTAACATAGCTCAAGATCAGTGAATAGTAGAGATTAATTCATGTTTTTATCATTCGCTGTTTACTACAAATGAATAACTGACTATCTTTCACTTCTTTTTAACCAGAATTTTGTTTAAACTTGTTTATCGTCTTTCCTCTTGCTAATGTCCTTTCAGTACAATGTAAAGGAACTCCTCCTCTAACTCTTCTAGGGTTACTGTCTGTCCTAAGTCTGGATGGGAAAGGAGGATTGAACACAAGGTCACCCACCAAATCACGTAAAAATCAACCTTTCTAAAAGACGCTTAACAGAATAAACAATTTAAACCATCTAAACTCTGCTCTCCGAATTAAAGGAAGAATTATGACGCCTCATAATGAAGGCCGAGATTCTTCGGAGATTTGAAAATCTATATGCATTCAATAAATTGGTTACCGATTGTCCAATGTTTCCACACAAACGCATACACAAAGCTACATGGGTCTCCCTCGATTACACTGTAGAGAACCAGATCGATCCCATTTACATCAGTAAAAAATTCGTAATATCCATGGAAGACGTGAGAATCAGGAGAGGAGCTGATATATCTTCAGGTCATCACCAGCTGGTGGTTGCTGAAGTGAAACTGAAGCTTAAGAAGCATTGGACAACTGGAGAAACAGCATTACAGGGATTCGATACAACCTTCCCTCGAGATACTGACAAACTCAACCAATTCAAGATAGATCTCAACGACAGAAGGCTATTATAGAAAACGACTGGAGAGGATTAAAAGAAGCACTAACTTCAACATGTCAAGAGATTTAGGGTGGCAAGAAGTATCATCATAAGCAGTGGATCTCTGTCGAAACCCTAGAAAAGGTTGAAGAACAGAAGAACAAGAAGACATTAATTAACAACAGTCGAACAAGAACACAGAAAGTCAAGACATAAACTGGATAAATAAAGGCAAACAAGTAAGTGAAGAAGAACACTAGTGCTGAAAAACAGAAATACGTGGAAGAACTAGCAGCAACACTGTAAAAAGCCGCAAGAGAAGGAAATATGAAACAACTATGTGACACACGAAAAAACTGGAAGGGAAATATAGTAAACCAGAGAGACTGGTCAAGGACAAAGAAGGCAAGCCAATCACTGAAATTCAGTGACCGAGGATAGATCGGTGGAACACCTTGAGGTACTGTTGAATAGACCAGCTCCATTGAATCCACCAGATATCGAAGCAACACACAGAGACCTTCTTATAGATGTCACTTCACCAACGACCGAAGAAATCAGGACGGCCATCAGACAAATCAAGAGTGGGGAAAGCCGCAGCACCTAATAGCATAACAGCCGGAGCACTGAAGTCAAACAGAAATTACTGCAAACATGCTCCGCGTTCTATTCAGGTGTATGGAGGACAGCGGACGGATTCATTCCAAGTAAGGACCGGAGTCAGACAAGGTTGTTTACTCTCCCCCTTCCTTTTCTTCTGTTGGTTGACTGTATTATGAAAACCTTCACATCTGAAGGGAAGCACGGAATAGAACGGTCAGCTGGGAACCAATTAGACGATTTGGACTTCCCAGATGGCCTGTCCCTTCTATCCCATACGCACGAACAAATGTAGATGAAGACAACTAGTGCAGCAACAGTCTCTGCATCAGTAGGCTTCATTATTTTTAGGGTTGAAAAGAGAACTGCTATCACGGGTTCACGAAGTTTGCGAACGAGATCGAGATTCGATGACCAAGACCTGTAAGCTAACTATTGACGCGTCCCAGCCCCAGCTATCTAGAGGGAGAAGTCCAGGCTTGAAATGAGAAATATATTCTGCAACAACCAGAAACAAGCGATTCCACCAAAAACAACTTAAAACATATATATACAAATATATATAATCGATATTGTCATTAAAATTTTTAAACATTCGTCAATAAATTCGTCAATTGATTGCTATTCAAATATTTAAACATTTAGTCGATAAGTTAATCGATAAATTACAAATGTGAGTTTTTGGGGAATTTATCGTCCCCAACAATTATACACGAGGGAAAAAGCAAGATCCTCAAATACAATACAATAACACTTGATGGAGAAACTCTGAAAGATGTGGAAACTTTCACGTACCTGGGAAGCAGCATCATCGATAAACAAGGAGGATTGGATGAAGACGTAAATGTGAGAATCGGCAAAATAACGACAGCATTTCTACAGTTGGAGAACATACGCAACGCAAAATAACTGTCTGAAAGCCGATATTAGAGGCAGAATCTTCAACGCTAACGTCAAGACAGTCCTAGTGTACGGAGCCGAAACTTGGAGAACTACCACAACCATCGTCAAAGGAGTACAAGTGTTTATAAACAATTATCTACTCAAGATACTCAATGTCCGTTGACCGGATATCATCAGCAACAGCCAACTGTGGGAGAAAATAAACCAGCTTCTAGTTGAAGAGAAACTTAGAAAAAACCATTGCAAGTGGATAGAACATACATTGTAGAAATAATCAAACTGCATCACGAGTCAAGCCCCAACTTAGAATCTTGAAGGGAAACGAAAAGAGGAAGACTAAAGAACTCACTGAGCTGAGAATTTGAAGCCGACATCAAAGGGATGAGTAGTAACTGGAAAAAATTACCCAGAACAGACTTGAATGGGTAATGCTATTGGGCGGCTTATGTTCCTCTATGAAGGGCAACAGGCGTAAGTAAGTAAGTATTAATGTTAAAAATTATCATTTAACTTTTGCTAGATTCTGTGTTATTCATGAGTGTTCAAGAAACTACCTAACCACCTGGATTAAATTTAAACAAATCAAATTTAGTTTGCCTATCAATATTAAATAGAATAATGAACCCAGTTCACTAGAAATGAAGTCCTTATGAAGACGTAATATGCTAATTCTTATAAATTCTTTAGTCTAAATTTCTAATGATCGTCTAAGAATATCTAACATAAAAAGTCAAAAGGGAAACAATATAATTCTCGTATTTCTGATTATTCTGTATTAGACGACTATAATTCGATCATAATATTATTTAACCTGGTAAAAATAATCATAGTCTATTTAAATTTATAAACCTCCTTATTGAGGTAATTTATTAGTCCTTTCAGTGATACATCATGCTGTATTGAAATTTTCTTGTCTAACTTCGACATGATTTACTAAAACACTGGATGATACATATTCAAATGTTAGATAAATAATACTTTAGAGCTATAAATGTCTATCAGATTCAAAATCTTGACCCAAGGTTTTCCGGATAATAATTGTAGATATCGAAAATTAAACGTACTGAGATTCTTTATTACCTTATCTAACGAAAGCAACTAAACATCTTATCAGCATATGTCTGTATATATTAATAATAATGGTTACTATCTAAGCGTTAATTTTTTGACAGTAGTTGAAGCTCAAGTATAAGAAGACCCAAATGTTTCTTCATCCATACAGTTTTGTGTTAAACTGATGTGTGAGTGGTTGGATGACTAGCTAGAATGTTGTTTTATATTAAACCTACATAGAAATAATGTTAATTGAATGACAAAAGGCTGATATTTAAGATTAAATTGCAATTAAGCTAACTTTATAAATTTATAACTGGTATAATATTCAACCATTAGTATGTAAAGTGCTATTTTAATTCCTATTACATACAATCCAGCTTTTTCACTTCACTATAGTTGTTAATTTTATCATAGTTAACAAAGACTCTAAACTAATGGTGATGGCGGTAAGTATGATATATTAAAATAAACTTAACTTAATAAATAAGAATAAATTTTTAAAAAATTTTGACAATTGTTAAGAACAAAAATTGTTGACGTTTATTTGACCATATACTAAACGTATATGATATTCTTTCAACTGGAATTTGCACAGAATATCGTTGGTACAGGCCTAGCAAGCACTATGTAAAACTGCTAATCCAACCAGATTGATACTGTTCTCATCAAGTATAACTGATAGATCAAGACGACTTACAACAGTGGACAATACAAAATCAACAGATTAGAACAAATTTTTCCAGTATCTTAACAATGTCAACAAAACTTTGCAACCAATCAAACCAAACTATAAAGCATTGATGTGTACACAGTGTCATGAATGAAGTGTCGTCCTGAAACTAATAGCTAACATCTTGCCGAGAGTTTCAAAATAACTATTTGAGTTTAATAATACATTGCAGAGTTATAATTTGTGACGTTCGTTTGAAATTTCTCAAAAAGCTTGTTCCTTAAAGATATAGATCAATGTCAGCACTACAGACTAAGCTTATGGATACTAGTTATTAGCCGGTAACTGATTATATTCATATCGAGTTTTTCTTAAGAATAACATTACATTCCCTTTTTACGATAATAAGTTTCATGATAAAAAAGTAGTACACCTGAAATTCTTATCAACAGCTACCTATTGATGATGGTTTTGAAGTTACATTTTGAATTTGGAATTTCTGCTTGTATTTGAGTTGCTTTTTATCTTCTCTAATTGTTTGCCTTTGTAAATTGTATGGTTCTGGAATCAAACGTTCGAGGAATGCCTTAAAATATTTATAATCCTTTACAGTTTCTTTCAATTTAGTGATTTCTGCATTGATTTGTGATTTATGTATTGTCAATTGCTTAATTTTATCAACCATCATAGCACGTTTGCGAGCCTCCTGTTCGGAGCTAAAAGAAAAATGTATAAATACACGCACTACAAACTGATTTATTTTAAAAAAATTGTAGTACACGGGAAAGCTCTTCTGTATCTCTTCCGGTAACTAAGTATATTTGCAGAAAAGCTACGAAGTTTTGAACACGCCTCAAGTTCCACTTGACGAGATTTCAATTTGATGCTAAAATTTCTTATGTTAGCCACGTACGCACGTATTAGTTACAAACACTAGTTACTTTGATTACCAGGAAGGTAACAGCAGAAATAAAGGCACAAATTGTCTGTATCAGAAAATCATTTATTAAAAATGTATTCCTTAGGTTAACTACTACCATCGCTAGGTGCTTTATTTGCCCATTAAATGTATCCGTTGGATAGCATTAGTCTTCTGTTTATATAAATGAATAGGATTAACATTTTGCCTTTCTGAATAACATCACTGGAATTTAAAAATGAAGTGTCTGTGTAAATTAAATCAGCAAAATTTATATCATAGCTGCATTTTCCCCAACTTTTACACCATCTTTATTATGAAATGCTAAAAGAGAAAGAGAATTATGGATAATATGAGGAAATTATATGTTCTGAATAGGTTTGGGAGGTATTGAACAATTGTTGGACAAAATTTGCAACGGGATGGATTAAGATCATTGAGTTTAGTAAAGCTTGAAATTTTCCAGCTTGATCCATTTTGAAAATGTGTATATCACTGTTGAAAAGTTTCAAAGCTAGTAAAACCAGAGAAGAAGACCCTCCTCATCATAAACCAATATTTAGTTGGAAAATCTTTTAAGATAGCGTGTGACTAAGTGGATACCTAGTTTGGGATTTCTCAGCAATTCAGATTGATTAATTCATTTTTAGTAAAACTTAGGCCATTTAGGTACGAGACTAGCGCAACGAAATCTACTTATTGCTTAAGTAACTTGTAGTCAAAAAATTTTAAACTTACTTCAATCATTGATATAGTGCGAACTTCAATTATTATCACTTGATACTTTATTGAGATTTAGAAGTTCATCAACTTTAAAGTTTTATGGTTAATGATGCTTTAAGGGACCCTAAAACCCATGTCATACTACCATAATTGAAAAAAAATATATTTAGTGGACTATCCGTACGAATATAAACTCCATTAATTCAGTTCACTTTCTAATCTCGTGAAGCGAAAAACTGTTCTAGTTATACAATAACATAAGACTGACAATTACAGAAACCTGTAGTTTCATGGAATTAGTGGGTCCAGATCTGAAATATCCAGAAGTTCAGAAACCAAACCCTTAACAAAAAGCGCGAGCTCGAAAGATAGTTACAAAATGACCACCTTTAGCTACACATCCAAAGTTGATAATAGAAAGTCAGAGAGCAATGAAATTGATATATATATATATATATATATATATATATATATATATATATCGGTAATATAAACCCGCACAATTAATTTACTTAGTACTTTGCTCTGATAGTGTTACCACAATAATTAGAATGTGGTGATTTTAATCAGTCCACAATGACTATTCATCATACAATAAAGCTAATTTAGAGTATGAAGAGTAATTCTGTTTACCACTACATAATGTGAACACAATTATGTGACTTAAGGGTACACTGAAACAAAGACTCTTAAATATCACCATCATAAAATATTTGAATTTACTTGGCCACTGCTTCCACGGAACTTTTGTCGTTTTCCTTGAGGAACTCGTCAAAAAGGGCCGCGTCTTGTTCCAAACATTGCTCTGCAAGCTCAAGCTTCAGATCTTCATGTGATGCCAGTTCTTCCAGCCTTTTTAGCTCTGAACGTTGTACTGCGATAAGGTACTCGAGAAAAAACATTTCTCTCCTATTGGCAATAAACTGGTCTCTAGTTTCTCTGTCAGTAAATTGCCCTTTAGATATTCGAAGACGTTTTAACGGAGCATACTTTTTGTCTTCTGCAATATAAATGCCACATTATTAGCTTCCGAAGTATTGGTTTCGTTTACGGGTTTTAATTCATCTAGGATTGATCTTCTTGATTTGTTTTTTTTATGAGGTTGAATCTTTTGATAAATTTTCAAATTTGCAAGTTCTTTTGTCCTCTATTTAAATCATATACGATATTTGTTTATAAATGGCAACCTTAAGTCTTTCTTCCTTTTCCGTATCTCTCAACTCGAATATATTTTCAAATTTCGGTAAAAGAAAGGGATTTGAAGTCATCTTGTTGTAGTTAAAATGTTAAACTTAATTGCCATGACGCCCAACACTCCTTCAAAAGTTAAAACAAACCTACCGCAGTAATCGAACAGTATTTGTGTCATTGATTTCAACAGGCTGATCTATTTCTTTGATCTTTTTTATTTATGTTACAGTATGGATTTCGATCGTCGGTACCATTCGTGAGAGTGGTCCAGCCAGTCAGCCTCTCCACTTCTGATTAATTTGTCAGTTAACTAAGAATTAAGGGTCTTCTGAATATCCATAAATGCTTTTCGTTTTAGGCAAGTGGGTCGCTAACTCAGTGGATACTGTATTAGATGGATGACTGGGTGGTTCAAACGGTTATGGAAGGAATAGTAGAAGCTTACGCTTCCGTGTCTAATAGCAGTGGATCACCAAAACCTTTAAGTAGGAACCTAGGTATAATATCGATAAAAGAGGAAAAAGAAATCGGTAGATACTACCTATCCTTAAGAATATGTCAATTTTACTCTTAAAGGACTCTTGGGGAGTCGCTTGGACTGGCTCGGACGGCAGTGAATTCCAGCATTTGACTATGCTTAAGGAGTAGCAGTTGTGTCTACAATTCGTTCTGCTGTGTAGTGTCTCCAGCTTCTGGGTGATTACCCATTAGGTTTGCGTTGGAGCTTGTAGTGACCTACTTTTGTCAACAGAACACGATTGGTTCGATGAAAACAATTATTATTATAACCAATTGTACCAGTGACTGTTTTACTGTGCTCGTTTGTTTAACTGTGCTAAGAACAGCCATTTTGGGCTTCCATTGTATTCCGTTGCTTTTACGCGGTTTTTGGACTACGCACGTATCTTGCCGTTCGCAACTGTACTCCTTTGGCACGATCTCGGTATTCTTTCGATACCACGAGATTGCCGACAAATATATACGACTACTACAACCATCTGCCTTCTGATATTTTGGCCTACCGGGATTTTATTGGTCTATTGGCAAGTAGTCTGGTAGCGGTGTTCATAGTTCAGCTCAACTCGACACCACGCTACATTTGGTGACCCAAATATTGGAACACGCCTCAACCTCGGTCAAATCTTTCAAAGAAGGCAATTCGGTGAGTCTATTGTTTTATCCATCCACGTCTGTCATATATTTTCATATTAATTTTTAATATATATATTTGACATGACGGATAACGATAAGAATAGTATTAATATAATAGACTCCGATGTACGCGTACCGAATCCTCGGAACTTTTTATTCGCGTGACGATAAATTCCACGCCTTATTCGAGAAATTCCCCAGATTAACTAAACCACTCGAGGAGATTTCATCGGTGACCAATCGTGTGGTACACCACATAGTCACCCGCGGACCACCAGTCACGGCAAGACCACGCCGACTGGCATCGGACAAATTAGCTTTCGCTAAACGTGAGTTTGACAATTTACTATCTGCTGGTATTATTCGTCCTTCTCACAGTCCTTGGGCCTCTCCTTTACACATGGTGCGCAAAAAGGATGGGGTTAGTTGGAGACCATGCGGCGACTACCGAGCATTAAACGTAGTTACGCGCTTTGATAGCTACCCCATCCCCCACATACACGACATCACGGCATCGCTCAAGGGCACGACTATCTTTTCTAAAATCGATCTGGTACGAGCATATCACCAGATCCCAGTCGCTCTTGAAGACATCGAGAAAACTGCTATCACGACTCCTTTCGGTCTGTTTGAGTTCCTACGAATGCCATTTGGATTACGGAATGCTGCTCAAACTTTCCAAAGGTTTATCGATAGCATAGTACGAGACTTGGATTTTGTTCACGTCTATATTGATGACCTGTTGATCGCATCATCAAACGTAGATGAACATTATCAACACCTTACGCTATTATTCCAACGTCTTTCGGATAATGGAATAGTAGTCAACCCAGAAAAATGTGAATTGGGTAAATCAGAAATAATATTTCTGGGTCACATCATCAAACAAGAGGGTATTCTACCTTGCGAGGACAAAATTCGAGCAATCAAGGAGTACAACGTGCCGTCCTCAATCAAGGAACTGAAGGCTTTTCTCGGTTTGGTTAACTTCTACCGACGTTTTATCCCTCACGCGGCAGAACGGTTACGACCATTAACCGATTTACTACGCGGTAATCCACGCAAATTAGAATTGAACGATACCGCACGTACTGCATTCTCAGAGATCAAAACGGCTCTCGCTGAAGTTACACTTCTCGCTCATCCTGACCCATCAGCCACGCTTAGTATAGCGGTTGATGCATCGGATTTTGCTATAGGAGCCGTTATGCAACAGAATATCTCCGGTAGTTGGCAACCGCTTGAATTTTTCTCACGACGCCTTACTCCCACGGAGACGAGATATAGCGCTTTTGGTCGCGAGCTGCTTGCAGCCTACTGCGCCATCAAACATTTCCGGCACGCAGTAGAAGGACGTCAATTCATTTTATTCACCGACCATAAGCCCTTAACGTATGCCCTGCATATCAAGTCTGACCGCTACTCACCACGAGAGTGCAGACATTTGGACTATATCTCCCAGTTCACGACAGACCTTCGTCACATTAAAGGCGAGTCGAACTATGTTGCCGATGCTCTATCACGTATCCAGACGAATGCAGTTACCTTACCGGTGCTCGATCTTCCTGCTATGGCCGCCGCGCAAGCAAACGATCCTGTCTGTACAGAAGCACCACAATCTTCGTCCCTTCAGTGTCAGGAAGTACCCCTAGCTACTAGCTCAGGTACTATCCTATGTGATACGTCTACCGGTCTACCTCGACCCATCGTACCCTCTACCTATCGCCGTCTCGTCTTTGATGCCCTTCATGGATTGTCTCATCCAGGTATCGCAGCTACCTTACGTCTCATCGCTGCACGATACGTCTGGCCGTCCATGAATAAAGATGTTCGTATGTGGGTAAAGCAATGCTTACAGTGTCAACGATCAAAAGTGCACAGGCACGTAGCTGCCCCCATTGGCACGTTCGCTACGCCTGATGCTCGCTTTGATCACGTTCATATAGACATTGTAGGACCATTGCCACCATCGCATGGGTATGATCACATACTCACGTGCATTGACCGTTTTACAAGATGGCCCGAAGCTATTCCCATCACGTCTATCACGGCGGAGACAGTTGCTCACCGCTTCGTAGAACGATGGATAGCATTGTACGGTTGTCCCTCGACTGTCACGACTGACCGAGGACAACAATTTGAGCCCGCATTATTCTCCTCACTGACCCGGCTGCTTGGTACGGAACGCATACGCACTACCGCCTACCATCCAGCATCGAATGGTTTAGTCGAACGGTTTCATCGCCAACTTAAAAGTGCTCTCCGAGCACACGAAAACGACGATTGGTACGAAACCTTACCGCTCGTTCTCTTAGGCATCAGAACGAGTTTGAAGGCAGATATCCAATGTTCCGCCGCTGAACTTGTATACGGCACGACATTGCGTCTGCCTGGGGAATTCTTCACACCACGGAGCAGTAATGATTTCGGTAAATCAGACTACGTCCATCGACTGTCTGCATTTATGCGAACGCTGTCTCCGGTGTCAACTCGAATACAACATCGACAGGTCGCTCTCCCTCGAGAGTTATCTACCTGTTCACATGTTTTCATACGAGTAGATTCGGTACGCAAACCTCTACAACAGCCTTACGAAGGCCCTTTTCACGTGATCTCTCGTCACGAAAAGACCTTCAAGGTTGATCGACACGGCCGCGTCGAGATCGTCAGCATTGATCGTCTCAAACCAGCACACGTCGATGACAGTGCCCTACCCAATAACTTGAGACTCAATGCTAGACCTACCAAACCTTCTAGCGGGATCTCTACATCTACCTCGGATCCCACGCTAGATACATCAGAGACCTCGTTCTCACGTCCCGGTCAACAGCACGCGTCATCTGCACCATCTACGGACGAGACTTCCGTCTCACGTCCAGATCGGCAGACCACGCCGCCCTTGACCTCGGATGAGATCGCAGGCTCACGAAGCACGAACGAGACCACCGTCTCACGTTCCGGTCGCCGGGTACGATTACCCGTACGCTTTCGCGACTAAACGCACAGTCAATAACATACGGTGTAGGATTATTCCTATACTACACGCATGCTACACTTTTCTTTTTTTGATTTTTTTTTGTATCCTGAGCCCACGCCTACGACCATCGTCCATTTGATAACGTCGACTTCAGTCAACTTTGGCGAAAGCTGGTTTGGCCACCCACGCTCTAGTCAACGTACTCAGTCGATTATCTGATCTCGAATCCGCCTGGCATATGCTTGGTAGTTATGGTCGCGTCCGGTTTCTTGGCTCAACGTGGTTTCGTCCTACGTCTGCAGCGTTTTCTGGTTCACATCCCTACGAACGCAATCATCAGATTCTGGATACAAACCACTCTGGTGTGGTATGCTAATTCGACCAACAAATTCAGCACACTTCTGGTACCGTTCTGCGCAAAAGACTTTCGTTGGCAACTCGAGGATCAATGACCACTTCCTGTTCCGCCAATTTCCTCCGTCCTACAACCGCAATTCTGCCGATCAGTCCCACGAATCGAACCGCTAACTATCGAAAGTGTAAACCCTTTCTAGCGGGGGGCTCCTGTAGTGACCTACTTTTGTCAACAGAACACGATTGGTTCGATGAAAACAATTATTATTATAACCAATTGTACCAGTGACTGTTTTACTGTGCTCGTTTGTTTAACTGTGCTAAGAACAGCCATTTTGGGCTTCCATTGTATTCCGTTGCTTTTACGCGGTTTTTGGACTACGCACGTATCTTGCCGTTCGCAACTGTACTCCTTTGGCACGATCTCGGTATTCTTTCGATACCACGAGATTGCCGACAAATATATACGACTACTACAACCATCTGCCTTCTGATATTTTGGCCTACCGGGATTTTATTGGTCTATTGGCAAGTAGTCTGGTAGCGGTGTTCATAGTTCAGCTCAACTCGACACCACGCTACAAGCTAAACTTAAGTAGGTGTTAAGGATGCTGTAAGACATTAGGTCACCTCTAAGACGCCTGTACTCTAGTGAGTGAAGTTCTGGTGATTGAAGGCGCTCTTCATATGGCTTAAATTTGAGTCCCGGGACTGATTTTGGGACCCGCTGTTGGAGTAGCAAAGCGAGGATAAATGTGAGAATAAGTAGAAAAGAGTCTATTCAAATAATATGAAAAACAAAATTAAAGAATAACAAATAGACAGGGGTGATAAGTGGGTAAGTGATCAGATATCGGTTAGTCAAAATTTTAATATAAATGACGACAGGAATAATAGTGAGAACGCAATAAATAATTAAAAACATTTATGTAGGTCACTGACGTTGATTCTGACTTCATCAGTTTGTTGGACACGCTCATGGCTGAAAAAGCTTGGTTAATTATCTTGGCCAGACCACGTCCGGTTACATCCCACTGTTCATTTCTTACGACAACCAATCAACTCTGATTGCATAAAAATCGAACATCATCAAATATGTATTCAAATCCAATTATCCTTGAATTTTGGTTTGCCTGTTTTTTGGATTACCTTAGTAGAATTTGTTTTGCACGATAATATTGATGAGCGCTATCTATTCGTGATGCCTTTAATAGTAGGTTAACAATTTAAGATGGACGACGGAAGACCATGGATCACTACATGGTTATCAAGTCCTTTCTTAATGCCACTATATGGTGGAGATATGGTAACGTCTGCTAGTAGAACATTCCTCATTGAGGCACCTTTTAATAGGAAAAGTGCGATTGTACTTACGCATCAGCAACTTGATGTTCAAGTCATTGTGGGCTGTCACATGTGGTGCGATATTGAGATTCGGGCAGCATGTTTTTATTCAAGGAGATTTTATTATGTTGTAAACCGTGATGTGTAACGACCAAAGCTCCAGTATTTGGTAGGAATGCAGAGACGACGAATAAAAGTTTATTTGATTAGACCAAACCACATTCTCCTGTTCAGCGTAGGAAGAGCTTTTGAGTGACCGTTATTAAATTATATTTAAACACAAACTCAGTGTTTGGTTAAAACGGTTCTAGTTTAAAAAATCAAACAAAATGTTTCAACAGTACAAAATGCCATAAGCGGCACAGCCAATGCTATACATCCAAGGCTTTCTCTAGCAGAAACAACGCTCTAATTAGTAAAAAGTGGTTTATATGCAAGTATTCGGTACCTGAGAATTAACAAGAGCATTACCAACAGGATAGGATCAAATAACTATCTGCAAAGATTCGAGTAAACGTTTCCAGAAGATATTCAAGAATCACCAAGTAGGCCACTTCATAACCTTGAGCTTAGTCAGAAACGACCCCGTGGCCAGTGACCCGGCAACACGCCACTGTAAAATCAAGCAACAAAGGCAAATCTGTAAAAAAGTCGAAACAAAGAGGGCTGAAATACATAAAATGCGGTTACAAGATAAAGAAAAGGAACGATGAATTGACAATAAAACTCTTCAGGGAACATTTAGGCTCATTCTCACAGTTGCAATTAGGTCGTTCTACATATATTTCTGCAATTTAGCAAGAATATTCTTAGATTACTAAAATCAGTTTTCATATGCTTTTCACCTTAATTTTGTGACACGCTTCGCGACACTCCGCTGCACTTGAGACAACAACTTTCGCTTTTAGGGGGAGGGTGAAATAATACTGATGTTTCCTGATGTCGGGGGGTGTGAGACCTAAATGGTGTTAGACAGAAATGATAATTCAACACACCTACGTACTCTCGGCCAGTCTGTTGGTCAGTAACAACGTGGAACTTCGTACGTACGTACATCAGTTCGAATTGCCATACCACATTAACACAGAGATGCAATTGTCGATTCAAATCCCATAGTGGTATAGGCAGTAAAATTATAGGCAGTAATCGGACAGATTAGGGTTTGAAGATGTTATTTAAAGGGTATAATACAGTGAAATAAATTTGGAAAGAACACAGAAGAATTAGGTTTGGGAGAACACAAAGGGTGGATGCACTTGCGCCATTGCAAATGATTTTGAGCCGTCATTCAAGATCTCTAACAATCAGTTGCTATCGTCTCGCGGCTCCCAACCAGGTAATCTACATCTACCAACATGGCTCAGTCCACTTGTCAGTGAATTTATGGATTTGTGCCATGTTTTGGTCTGGCCACCCCTACCTTTCTTCCAACTTAATCCCATACCATTGAACATCGTACGTCGGGGTATTCGGTGGTTGTGCATACGTAAGACGTGCCGCGATACCATAAGATCCACCCAGGTGTCCTTCCCTTTCGCTTAGTTTACCTACTTGAGCATTAAAGTCACCAGCCACTACTACTACATCTGAACGCCTAGCTTTCCGGAAAAGATCGGAGAGCTTTCTGTAAAACTCATCTTTTACATCATCTGAGCTGCAGTCAGTGAGAGAGTAGGCAGAGACGACGAAGAGGCAACGACGAGTGTCCCTATCTTCCCGAGTCCTTACTGTTCCGTTTAGTTGGACAGCGCACAAACGACTGTCTACTGGGATCCAGTCTTAGAGAACTAGTTCTGCCCTAGGACTCAATGTTATACCTACGCTAGCGAGGCCACGGGAAGCAGCATCAGGGCTTCCAGATACACGAAGCGTAAATCGAGTTGGTTCGTTACTTTGATATGGTGCGGTCAAATGAATGACACTACCAGGATCCTGTGTGCGCGTTTCGGAGACGCAGCACATGGCTCGAGATTATAAAGTCCTAGCTAGGGAGGCCTGTTGTCCTATTTGGCACAGTGTTCGGACGTTGAAAGCTCCTACGTTTAGTTTAGAGCGTGGTTTCAGGAGACCAGGAATAACGTTCCGCGTTCTACAATCGTTTGCACTAGCAGTGCGAGGTGATAAAGGGACGTGGGAAGGGTCAGTCGTGGAGATAAGAGAGTTACTAAGAGGTGTAGGAAGGATTTGAATGTGAATAACTTGTTCTCGTATGCTGCTACGGGTATGAGGACTGATGTCACTTCCCGGCTGCTCACACCGTGGAAGGGTATTTCTTGAGGAACCTGAAAAGGAAATCGGATCAGTGTTGGTCTTAACGACTCGGGAACGCGACCGCAGAGACCAAGTGACAACTGCTTGAGGCCGGTCGCGCACGGCCTTCTCGTGGGAGGCTTTTAATGTGTTGGCTCTGTTCTTCCAAGGACCTTACCGCCGGAGACGGAAATCCGTGGGATAGGGCGAGGTGTGCATTTTTAGGGTCGACCTTTTCTAACCCCACCCCTCCTTTTGGGAAGGCAGCATCGCTGCAGATGCTGGTTGTCCAAGGGAAACACCTTACTGCCGTCACACCTCTGTACAGTCAGCAGTACGACTTAGCCTTCAGACCTTAAGTTGCTGATTTTAGTCTTACCGTTCTCCAATCGACCTGCCTGGCATGGTAGGACTTGCAGGAACATGTGTTCCAGCCAATCTAGCTCGGTTGGATCATCACGATAGGCAAGCCCGACCACCACGTCAAGGTAGCAGGTATGGTCGGGAATACCCTCGGACTATTGAGGAGTTGAGAATGATTTCGCTTCATCTCCCTGTTAGTTGTTGCCGGTGTCTAGGCTGCCTGTTAACAACTTCCCCAGATCGCGCTTCACTGAGTTTCTGAATAGGCGAGGATCTTTGAGGAGATAGCGAGTCCGGATCTTCTTTGTAACTCAAAACCCACTGTTGTCGCTGTTGGGATGTCGGTTTGACCGCTGACCTTGTATATAATGTGGCTGCTTGTCAAACGCGCGTTATTAGCTTCGATGATTTCAAAGTTAACGGGAGATTTTGCTTAAATGTTCGTATTAACATAAATCCTTTGGTTAATAATGGTTTCTCTTTTGGACGCAAATTGACCCAAATGCTATCGGTCCGACTACTGTTTAAGAGCCGTAACTACCCTTCCGTACCTTTTCCTTTTCTTCTGTTTCCCAATGCTATGTACCGGTTATAGCTGGAGTCTTGCGGTCGGTTCACCATCTGTTCCAAGTACGCCTCTGGACTTCCGACCATCGATCAATGATTCCTTCTACACAGAATGCTTTCCTGCATGAATTGCAGGTTTCTTCTATTAATAACACGAGGGTTATTAATTAGTGGTTAATTAAATATAGATCTCATTTACTTAGTGCATGTACTGTCGGCTGGT